CACTTGCAATCCTCTTTATCATTGTCCTACGAATCCTCTCAGTTTTGGTGTTTTTTGCTAGCCGACGCCAAACACAATCGAATGCGAAACACAAGTTGATAAACCCTATTTTAATACTTCACACCCGGTATAAATACCTATCGTGTTTATACAAATGGTTCTCTAAAACAATTGTATCTCTAGTGTGAGGTAACCATACTTAATGCACCCGCAAACTGAAAGCATTTCTGGTGCGAGTAATGCCATTTCCAGATCTCAAACGTCCATTAGTAGCTGCAACCATGAAACACACGATAAGGAAGCCTATATAGTAATAGTACCGAACGGGTTAAAGATGGGCAGACGTCGAAAGCAATTTGTGATTTATCGATTGTCCCTGTTAAAGCTGTGACATCTCCGAAAGGCGGTAACGATAATGGCGATCTACCCTTGGGTGCCTTCTCTTGGGTATTCAGCATCCAAGCTTTGGCTCCTAACTAGTCGCAAGCTGACTAATCATGTCGACTTTGTGACGTGCATCGATATTTTATAGAGATTTATAAATTGACAGTGAAGTAGACAAAAGCATGACAGTACCAGGGGCAGCAAGAAAAAGTTAGGAGGAAATAAGTATTCAAAGCTTTTTGTAATTTGGTTCTACCCCATGCATTCGTTCATAATCTAGTGTCAGATGGACGCTGCTATGGTCTCTCAGCTACAGCATGTACAGATCAATACGTAATTTAACAGTTCGATGCCGAAAAATCCTTTGAGGACATGTACCTCAGTCTTTGGTAGCTTCTTGGAGCTCTGTGAATCTAGAACGGGGAACTGGCACAGTACGGAATTAGAAGAAACCCGTTATTCAACCTCAACTCCACCTTTGCTTAGGCCGCTTCCTCGTCTATATATGAGTGAAAACCATAGACTTTTTCTTCCCATACGGTCTGTGTCTCAGAACACTTCCCCATCAGCGCCACAGCAAGCCGTCATCTCTGAAACGATGAGTAAGGATAGCTTCTTTCGATTGAGGTTGTCGTTGTTGTTGTTGTTGCTGCTGTAATTGATGAAGTGTTTCTTTGAATGGATGTTTCTCTCAGCAGAATTCTTCGTCGACGATTGCCACCGCCGAAGCGGACGGAGGTTGCTCCGCGTGTTCCTTGAGCGCGAAGTCATCATGAGCCATTGTTGTTGCTGCTGCTGCTGCTACTGCTGCTACGACGATATAGTCAATCCTCCAGTTATTGCTTGGACGGCCATTGCCGTCACGAGCACTTTAAGCAAAGAGGAGGTTCCGCAGGGTGAACGCGAACCTTCGGTCGACTTTGACGTCGTCGGCTGGCGTGTGATCGCCTTTCAGAAGAGCACGGCGCCTGCGCTGCGGCTGCTGAAATCGCTCACTCAGAACAGCCAGCCAGACCGATGTCTACGGAGGGCAACCACATCGACAAGCGAACACAACAGTATAGGTAGTAGCCGAAGGAGCAGTACGATAGCCACAACTCAGCCTACCCAGACAGTCCCATGCTGTGCAGACGGTGCCATTGGAGCCAGCCCAGTCTGGGCCTCGATGAAACTCCTGGAAGAAAGCCCATCAACTAGGCCCACCTTGAGAGCACGGAGGGGCATAGTTCTATACTTCACTTTTCGCTGCTGGCTATAAACAACTTTGCAGTGGGTATCGTTGAGGCTGTGGTATTCGCGGTTGCGTGGACAACAACACATTGCAATGCGTGATCGTGCGCGCATGGATCAATGTCCATGTGAGCCAGTACAGCCGTATCTTTGGATGGCATATAGCATTTTACACCGGGAATGAGATTTTGCAATATGGGCCTTCCTTCTCGCGGATTTCCGCGGGAGCCTGAAGTAGGTCCGGTTGTGCCGTGGGCTTCGCCTAGCGAATGTCTCCCAGTAGTAATGCCTTATGGTTCAAATCCGGAATGATTCAATCAATAGGGAGAAAAGCTAAAAGTTAGTCTCGAATTTGAAGAAAAAAAGTAAAGATGTGGAGCCAGTTCAAGTTAGGATTCTGAGTTTTGAGATGACATTATAGAGTGTCTGTGTATTTGTACTTATTGAATGGCTGTGTATCAATTGTTACTTTTACTTAATGACATGAATACATGTTTACTTCGTACATTATATAGTGATATCCGTGATAAAACAAAATAAGGATCAACATATGATGTTAGGGACATATTGGTTTTCGTGTTTTTAGTTCTAATGTAGATAATAATTGCTTATTCCGTGGTACTAGTATGTAACTTCTTTATTGTTCATCGTACAAGTAAGCTCGTACGAACTTGCATTCCGTGGCAATATCGGCTGTTGCAGGAATTCGTTAAACCTTTCAAGTTCCTTCTCCGGCAGTTCCTTCCAGTCTGTTAATATATAATTATATGCTGCACAAACAACTGACAAAGTTCTTTAGTCTTCGACAGCCGAAAACAATGGCCTATCCGCTCCCGATGCGAACTGCTACAAGCGCTTCTTTGGCGACGGCGAGAAATACGTACGAGGACCGTCTAGAACCAACATTAAAAGCTATATCGCAACTTTTATCGAGCCGCTACCAGAGTTAGATGCGTTCTTTGCGCGACACTTCAGACGCCAAAAATCTAGCTCGGGCAACTACGGCAGAAACCACCCAGCGCCATTTATTCGCAGAATAGCAAAAGTCCGAAGGCTAAAAGACAACGAAGTCTTTGCCCTTGTGAGCGCTGCTACACCCCCCGCACAGACTCAACCCCCTTCGGATTTGCTAAGTTCAAATCCTCGAATTCGTTGACGCTACCCAACGCCCGTCGCACCTCATCCCGTTGTTATCAACGGGGTTCACCCAGTGTTCAACCATTCAGGTCAACGTGGACCTCTTCGGGTAGCAAACCTCCACATAATAGGTATCTCGAGTATCGGACTAGACAGTGCGCCTGCCAGTCTACTGCAATCGTCTGCCTCAGACAGCGGTGCACTCGTCTGATGACTCGCTGGATTCACCGCGAACTCAGAGGTCTCCCTTCGTCAGTTGTTTCAACCTCTAGGTCTTTGCTTTCTTCTTCTTTCTGTCTTTTACTAAGCCAGCGAAAAAAAAGGGGGAATCTTTGCTCTCACCGTCTGAACCGTGTACTGCTTACCCAGTAGACTTTCTAGACCACGAAATAGCTCCGCTGAGAAAGAACACAGAATGTTCGTCAATGAAACATAGGGTAGAGAGCGAGGGGGGAGGCAGGGATGAGGAATGGTGCTCACGGGGTGTTTTGGGAAAGGCAAAACAGAATTGCCGTGGAGTGGCAAGGGCGAAAAGCCAGTAGTTAAACAAAAAGAATAGATTTCTGTGTCTTACGAAGTGCGAGGGCGACTTCGGGCTCATATAGAAGCGGGAAGTCGCCTTTTTCTGCATAGAGAAATTTGTGTAGCGCACAAACGCAACTGGATAAGAGAGAGTGAAACCCGCAAGCGTGCACGCGACACGATACCATGGTGATTTAGCGATTCCGAATAAATCGCCTGTTTGCGTCCGGAAAAATAGGTAGATGGACAGTTCACAGCAGCAGTAGAAGCAACGGATGACAATCCGCTAGCTACGTGTTGTTCGTACATAGGGACGGCCTATGGCAATGCTGGCGTCGACGGCAAACACCGACGTAACAAACCTGATTTCTGAGTCATCGCATCCTATACGAAGACTCTCGCTGTGAGGCTGTTGCGAGCGATGTGGGATAGTGGGTAGTAAAATTTCGAAAAGTAGGTGAAGTAGCTTAGGAACAATGACGGAACCGTCACTTACATACATCAGCACAGACACACGGACGGAAACTCACTGTCTGAAACCGTTCGAACGTAAACAGGAGATACAGCAATCGTAGTAAATGCACGCAGCAGGCGAGCAACGGCACATGGGACTTGCACAGCAACGAGCTGTATATTACCAGCGTAACCGCCGTGAGACGATTGAGGCAAGCCGCCAATAATGATCTGGTTGCAGACGGGATACAAGCGAAGGGGGTCAAAACAGCGAATTGAAAGGTTGAGACCGTTTAGAGTCACGGGACCTCTGACGCCTTTGCCGCGATTACTTCGTCTGTTTCTTTACTGTTGTTTCTAGTACGGCTTCGAATGCTATTACGGTCGTCGTTACGAACGAGGCGGGGGTTGTAGCCGCCCATTGCAGACACGTTGGCGTCGGGGAGGTACTCGAGGGGAAGATAACTCTATGGAAGGGGGCGGAGATTCTTTGCATGTGTAAACGTTGCTCTCTCTCTTTTTCTTGTTCGCCCCAGTCGGAAGCCATTGGGCATAATTACGGTAGTAGCAGAAGTAGCAGCTCTAGAATATGGTACCACTGTTTCGGGGTGAATCTTTGCGACTAAACAAAGGACTCAAGGCTTCGACTGAAGTACTTGGGTATTTCGTAAGCTCCTTCCGATTAGCTTCAACCAAGATGAGTGAAATATGCAAGAGCGAAGGTACGATAACCAACGTATTGATAGTGCGAAGCACAACCTTCATTATTGATGTAATTATTGAGATATCGAAAATTGGCAAAAAAGCTGACTTTGTCGACAAAAAAATGGGCTTGAGATCGGCTTGGTCGCGTTTTCTTAGAACTTTATGCGCGAGGTATGCTTGTTATGCATACGTAAATCTTAAAAACTAGGTTGTTTAGGAAGACTTAAGAGCCTGTAGAGGCGCAATACAAGGTTGCGCAGGCGTTTAGTACAATTGTTGAATGTGCGAGAATGGTAACCAATCAAAATGTCGAAAAGTGATGTATTACATACGATGAACTACCCTAAGTAGCTACGACTCCCAGATTGCGTCAAGTAAAAGCACTATAGTTAGAACACCAGTAAGCCAGCCAGGTCCCATTCAGTTTTATTTAAAAACACGTACTTTTATTCGCGAGAGAGAATAAATATGCCCAGATGCCGCCTTTATATGTCTATATGTCCTATCTAAGCATTTCTACTGATATTTTTCGATTCTAAACATTACTGTTTTTGTCGTTCATCCTTAAATGCAACTTCTTTTTTTTTTTTTGGTTCTTAGAAATTAAAAAACTTCGAACGTGCACCCTCCTATTTTCTAGATAATGCTACTACAGTACAATTTATTGTTTTTCATTTCTTAGAACTGCATCTTTCATTTCTCGTTCTGGGGGCATCGTTAGCTTTGTTGTTTTTTGCCAAAGATCATCGCACGGAGATTGATAAAACAGCGTTTATCATGCCTTTTGTTCATTCACGACAACAACGAAGTACAAGACGGTCACAGTACGCGCTGAGAAGATCATGATCATCATTGTCAACATCAGTAGCGCGCTTTCATTGAGTCTAAGCAGGTTGAAGCGTTTCAAAACGTTATGACGCCCGCCAGCGTTCTTAGATCGACCCGCCCCGAGAGTCAACACCGGCCACGAGGCACTATAATCGGAAGACATTCGAAATCCGCATGTACCCACATGCGTTCACTGACATCGAACTAAAACCTACGGCAAATATCGCGAGAACTTCGACTACTATTGCTGCTACTGCGAGAATCTATAGCAGTGCCCCGCCAACACTTCCATCATCTCCGCCTCCCTATCCACCTATCTCTCTCCCACTTTCTTCGACTTTTCCCTGCTTGTTTTTGCTGTCGTCTGCCAAGCAGGACAAGCTTTCGACGATAGCCAGCGAACAACGGCATGGCTATCGATCGGTCTACCCATGCATCGAAAGTGGCAATAGCAGCGTCGCGTCGCAAAGTTTTCGCTTTCTGGCTATCTCGGACACGATGCTCCTGCTGTCACAGCAGCTTCTGGTCAGATCGGTCAGCCTCCAACGACAAACTGTGCGGTCAATAGAGCTTACTGTAGCACTGAGTGTGTGGCTGTTCCTGCGACGCGTCGGCAGTGACATTAAAACGGCGAAAAGTCACAACGAGGACGTGTGTCCACGTCCAGCTCGAACAACTGAGATAGTAGCTGTTTTTAACAGCACCGGCGGCAGCAGCAGAAGGAGAAGAAGAAACAGCATAAATTCGCTTTTATTCCGCCTCGTTGTGCAGTTTGTATGTAGTTTGTGCCTTCTTTCGGCCTTAAGTCGTAGCGAAATGACGGCAACAGGAACAGCAACAGCGTAAGATTCTACCCTCTACCATCCTCCCTGAGACGTTATCCCGCCCATATCTCGTTGGCTTTGTGCGTTTTCGTTGTTCCGGTTCTGTCTACCACCTTTTGGCCTGTTTTAATGCCGTAATAGTGCCTGTTGCGTCTGCCGTTGTTCTGTGAGATTCAGTGTTTTTCTTCCGTTTTTCTACTCGTATGAAATATTGTACATAACTAATATCAGATCCTGAGCTGATCGTCCGTTCCTGCGATCTCTGCTGCGTTATCGTTCCTTGGAGAACTCTCATTGCTACGCGTTGTTGCCTCCCTCCTATAATTCTTTCTCGTACGATGTTAGCTCACTGCAAACGGCTTCGAATATAGTGGGTTTACTGTGATTTCGTCTATGTCCCTTTACAGCAGGGCAGCGTTATTTGGCTTATGATACAAACAACCACTGAGTACGACTACCGATTCAGCCCCCCTAGACTGGCACTGCGTTACTTGAAAGGCACGCGAAAGGCTTGGACTGCGTTTCACCTCTTTGCCGTTCATGCCTGCTTCCATGCCATACCTTGTTTTTATTTCTGCTGCTGCTGCTGCTGTTGTTGTGGTGGTGAAGACGGCAGCGGCCTTTGTTGGCGTCATTGTCGTCTGGGTCGTCACTGAGTCCTCCGGTGGTCCTGCCTTGTCGGCGCCGTACAAATCAGTGCAGTCGCCATTGTAATTATTGTCGATGCGGTAGCAGCCGAGGCCGAAGCCAAGGTAGACATATCTTACGTCGAGACGTAAACGGTCAAAGTCCAAACTGGCAACAGACACCACAGCAATGCCTGGGTTACGTGCCATGACCGGTCATGCGACCAACGACGAGATTGTGAAACTCCAGCGTTTGCTGCGAAACTGCGTCGTCTCCGCTCTCAGCCAGCCGGCGTATTGCCTTTACTGTTATGGCTGTCTCAGATCCTGCTGCAACCATCGCTATAATATTCGATGTTGCAGGGATGCCTGCGTTCGTCTCTTTAGGTTTAGCTTTGCCCTTTGCCTATCTTCTCATCATAATACTGTTGATGGTGATTCTGTTGATGTGTATCCGCGTGATGGCGCTTAGCGTTGCCGACGTACAGTGCTTTTTTAGAACGGCGCACGCACTTTTTAACATGCTGGCGTTGTTGCTTTCATAGTCGTCGCCCCCTATTTGCTTGTCCGCTGTTGTCGGCTTCGGTAACCTATTGCTCCTGCTGCTACTGTGAAAGACTAGCCTGGGCCCTTTTACTGAATAACCTGACATTATACGGAGCGTGTATTGATGCTGCTGAGCTGAATATGCATGGATCTGATGACACAAATAGCATCATCCGCTCGAATAAATGACGCTCCTAATTATGGCGATAATGGCCATTTTGGATGCTCGTGCCTATGCTCGGCGTTTCTGTGGATATATTGTGCAGCTACGGTGGTGTTGCATCTTCGTCGTCGCGAAACGGTACCTTGGCTAGCTAATCAAATCCGATCGGTTCGGTCTATCGATCCAGTCCACTAGTCTGATCGGGTCCGACCTGATCATCGCCGATCAATGACGACTCTTCCAAGAATTGAACACAGTCAGTATCAGAGGCTGTGGTGACTGCAATCACGTACTTACTCGTCACAGCTATCGAGAGAAATGTCGAGCTGCAGAATCACTAGGGGCAGCGTTATATTATATATAGTAATATATCAGTATAACAGTACGATCGTGCAGAGGATCGCATCAGCATGCCGATGCAGTCCTCTTCATTGTGCCTATTCTCCGTCCGGCATTCGCGGCGCAGAACGCCGTCAACGGCGAGGGAGAGCGGGTCGATGTTGCTCCAAACGGCAGATTCGACGATTCTTGATAACCCACCTTTCGATGAATTGACGACCAGCGAATACTTCTCCATGTCTCTGTATAAAGATCGTGGGTCGTCCTCGTCGTAGTCAATTTCTTCGTTATGAAAAACTATGATCAATACTAGTACTACATACTACTGCAACTGTGCGAATTCGAATATGACGAGCCGGCGGCGAACTGCGTACGCCGTGGAGTGCCGGTTTGTCGATGACCATCGATCGGTCAGTCAGGATCGCCGCTACGGCAGCGTCCCTCGTTCCTGTTCATCATTGTCCCAGAGCTGATTTTACCGTCTGCATGCTTCAATTCGCTGTATTCTTTTCTTCGTCCTGTCATTTGAAAGGAACTGGCCGACGAATGTAAGCGCCGCTTTGGCGACAAAAGATGACGCAGGAGACGGATGGAAAGGGGAAGCAAGAGAGGACGAATGAAGATATAGAGCTGTGAACTAGTGAAATAGGCCCGCTAAGAAAAACGAAAGGCGAAAAGAGTGCGGACAAGGGTAGTAGGCTGATGTACGGACGTAGCGCCGAAGAAATATCAACACCGGTAAAAGTAGCTGCAACTACAGTAACGTTCGGCTGCTTTTTTCGATTGTTTTCGTTTGGGGCATATGAATTGGCTTGCTGGCTACTCCCTCATTACAGCGGCCACCAATGGCCAAGCTTTACCTTAGCACCAGTGCCTGTCGGGATTAACAGATAAGTCGACAAAAGTACCAGTATCAGCAGCAGCAGCAGCAGCGCCACCAAAGCCAAAAGTCTCAGTAGTCTTTTAGTTGAACGAACGCTGCTTGTCTTATTGAAGAAAAACTCGGATGCGTCGTTAGAAACGTAGCGGCGAGGCGACAATTCATTCAGCGACAACTGCAAGCAATTCTAGATCGATCTGTGCTGCCCGAACGCACGCGTGCTTAGATAGTCAGCGCGTGCATGGTACTTCCAGGTTTGATGTTGTTGCGTTCCGCAGAATAACAACGGCAATAGGAAACACACGACAGCATAGAGGTGGAACGGGATCGAACAGAAAGAACAAAGAACGATTTTACAAGGAGGACAAGGAGCGGCTCTATTACATATAGAAATAACAATAACGAAAACAACAACGACGACGATAAAGGCCACCATCCCAACAGCAAGAACTCGACCAAAAAATAGCAGATCAAGCGCATAAACATGTCTAACGTTCTTTCCCGTGCTTCCCATTGCATCTAGCCCGAACGAACAGCGGCCCAAATACTAGACAAAGCAGACGAAATTAAAAAAGAACGCCCATAAAGTGTCTTCCCTTCAGAACAAACTCCAAACTCCACTTTTACTGAAGCAATGCCCCCGCTTTATTTGCCATTTTTATTTCATCTTGAGCGACGACAGCACCGATTACGAAACTGAAAAAATGATAGATTGAGCCGTGGGCGATAAGGCGCGTATAGAAACACAGGCTGAACAAAATACGTGCATTAAGAGCGACATGTTTCAGCGTATGGCCACATGCAGACATAAATAAAGACAGACAACGGCTACTGAGCAAAGGCACGGCGCACAGATACTGTACTCTTAAGGAAAAACTAGGCATCTTGCCATTCACGTCCTGCTTCCTAGAGGTCAAGCACCTCTGGACCTACAATGGCGCTGTCAGAGTGAAATCGTTGTTATTGTTGTTATAGGTGAACTTTCTGTTGCTTTTGATGCTGCTCGAGTTGTAGTGGTTGCGGACGTTTTTTTCCCGCGTACGAACCTAGCGATCTCCTATGATGCTTGAGTAGAAGCGCCTTCTACAAGCCCATCATAACGAAACGTACGCTGAAGGCAACATAGACCAGCCTGCAGCATAAAGCCGCGCGCGACAATGAGCTCTCCTATGAAACACAGACCTTTGAAGAACCGGTCTTTATACCGAAGCAAGCACTGACCGACCGCTAAAAACTGAGGGGAGACTATAGGGAAGCTCGAAGCGTGCTCCCATCTACGGGAAGTAACTAGCCAGCCACTTTACTTATTCACAGAAGCCAATGCCCCTGGAGAACAACATTAACAACGACGAAGACCACAATAACCTGCTTCTGCTGATGCTGCTGTCTAGGTATGGCGACCAAGGGCGATACGAAAATCAAGTGCTCTAACGGATTGGATTGCGGTCGTCAATACTGTTGGCTAGTAGGTAGCACAGTATCCGCTGAAACAACAGGTATGACCACGGTCGAGCTAAATAACAAGTATTATTTAGTACCGGGGGCAAGGGATAGGGGGCAGGGGTGAGATGGAAGAACGGCCGGAGGAACAAAAGCGTCTGCTATTATGCTATAGTAACAATAAAGCCAACAAAGTCATCGACTCGAAAATAGAAGATTAGCTTGTTCGAAGGCTGCCTCTGTTATGTACGGTCCCGGCGGCAGCAGTAGAGTGGCGGCATCTTTTCTGCCACCTTTTTTATCTTTGCTCTTTGTTCAGATTTTATTGAACCTGGCTGGCTTACCCCGGGCCATCGTTCGGATTAGTGGGTGGAAGGCCCCCAGTGCCAATTCCGCCTGGTTTGGGTGGGCCATTACAGCTGTCAGCTGCTAAAACAGAACTGGGAGGTTGGAACGTACGTCGGGGACTTTACCCGCCGCTGAGACAGATGAGATGGCGCGGAATGGCTAGAAAATATGGCATTGCGAAATCGTAACGAGCGGACCGAGATACAGTTCAATCTGCTGTTTGTTTTTTAAAGTTTTTTTTTTAACAGCAAATTGTTAATATTTGTCGCTTTTCTTTTAGAGAAGTTAAGCGCATGACAATTTTAGATTTCTACTGAAATGAATATAATATATTAGAAGAAAGCTGTTAATTTAATCGTTCGTTGAAGGTTTAATTAGTCTAGTGGGAACTCTATACTTCGAAAAATATACAGTGATATATACAATTTGTCATTATTAATAAAACAACTTTAGATCAACGAGTCGTACGCCGTTGATTCTGTCTAGCTGAACAAACTTGAAAGTTTAGCAAATGCAATCAATAGTCCCAGCTGTGTAAACTGAGTTAACTTATTCGACAATCTATTACTACAGTATATTAACTTACTTTGCTGCTATCCCACAAGCTAAATAAATCATTGTTCGAATTGGACGGGTTCGTGGTATTACAGCTTCACTTAGACAGGCTCAACATTAAGAAGAACTGATGGGTGCAATTCTGGGTCAACAATGAGGTCCGTATAGTAACAACAATCAAAATCTGTCACCTTCAAGTACTCTACGGAGAACGAGTTGCTCTGCTTCTTCGTGACCCTTTAGGACTATACATGCCACGTCTCTCATCAACAAGACATTTGCAATTTGCGGTTCGAATCCCGCTCGAGCCTTATATGTATTGAATATACGAACGTAGATGACTGGAAAGATCTCATAAAGCCAATGCATTGACGATCATACCACGATACAGGTCGTTCCTTTTACGGATCCCAGTCACTTAGCAAATAATAACGCTCCTAGCCGGCCTTGAATATGGGCGTCTTATTGTTGCTTACGATGCACTTTTGGACGCGCGCGCGGACTTCTTCCCCAGTCGCTACCAGTAAGGAGAACAGAAAGCTAAAATGCAAGCATTGGATAAGTGGAAACACTTCCGTGATCACCCGAACTTGTCCATTTTGTAATCTAAACGGTCTCTCGTCCCGATGACACTGTCACCTCTTGAATCGGCATGGAATTCTTACATCATGCGTCGCTTGGACGCCCTCTCTTCTCCTTATCAAAGTCGTGCGCCATATTTCGTTTTGAGGTGCCTTCACCTGCGCCGAAATGCGTCAGCGCAGATTGTGCAAGCCCACGAAATGGCCTCGGTTTTAATCAGTTGTGAAGCATCGCTCAGGGTCGCAAGGGGTGAGCCGATCATAGGCCGTCTTCTTTGAGGCCCGCGGTGCAGAATTCAAGAAGTACAGATAAAGGCGAAGGAAATTCTGAATTTGTGATCAAAATGACCTACTTTATTGAGAAGTAGACAGAAAAAGAGATAATAACTCGATTGGTCCAACCCTAGAAGGGTCGGACTCTTCCAAATAGTTCTCTATCAAGCGTCGGCTCATTGTTATGTCAACATCGTTAGGACAGAGATTTGTGCTTTGTTGCAAACAGGTCGCCGCTCCGGTTGAGCGAAACAGCTAAAGCTACACAGATTTACGAGTGCGGCGAACGTTTTCGACCCAGAATTTAGTCCCATCCCGGGAGAAATTTCGACGTGCTAGTAGCGTTTATGATCTAACGGCATAATAGTATTTACATGAGAAATTCTGTAGACAGTCGATTATTTTTATGTTCTTGTATAATTAATTTATTATATGAATGATAACGGTATCGGTCATCGTCGTCGCCAAAAGCCAACTATTATCTAGTTAATTCCATAGCGCTACTCATCACAATATAGGTTACTTTCAGACGAAACGTATTCTGCCGCTAAATAACTATTCCCCTACAGTTTCCCAGTTTAATGTACTAACTCAACGCAATGATCTATATTAGCAAACAATCTGGAACCGCCTCCCCACTTCTTCTCCAACCATTAACAGTGGTAAAATGCACGATCACATATTAAAGCACCCCATCGGCAGCTACGACGCCGCGTATAGCTCAGCCATGTCGCGTCAACCCGTTCGAGCCGAAGGCCGATTCCTCGATCCGGTCGCCGGAGCCGTCTTCGTTGGCGGCTCCAGTCAGCCATTGCTTTTACCTTACTTTACCAGTGTCGCCTTCGCACGACCTATAATACAATAGATGCTAACAGTAGAAGACTGAAACTGTCCACATATTTTTCCGTTCTCTGTGGGACTGTCGTAGCTAGTTTTCGTGCGACGCGTTTCTGTCCCTCGCTCCGATTGTTTATAGGTCATTCAGATGTCAAGCAAAGCAACGGTAGCAGCGACGGTTGATGTCCGCGGTCGTGTGATTCGCATAGCCGCTTGGAGCCTACCGGCGTATGTCTGGCATCGTTTTAGGATCATTTAGACATCGCGATCAAGCTATAGACCTATGGCGGATTTGTATATTGCTATCATAGAGACGGTATCGAATAGTGCGCTGTGGAGGTTCCGCTCGACCGAACTACTGTAGTAATAGAGTTAAAACCGGTGGCACTATCCGGAGTGTCGGTAATGGAGATCATATGTTGGATGTGGGATTCTGAGGACACATCAGTAATTTAGGGCCGGGCCGAACGGCAGCCGTCAATGGTGCGAGTGTTATTTGCTCACTGGACGAAGGCTGCCATTGTCAGGCACATTGGAGCGAAGTTCTATTATCTAAGTACATGAAGTTCAGCGGTGAAACAGTTTTGAAATCCGAAGTGCTCTTCTCGCGGCCGCCAACAATAGGACGTTCGCTGTACTGGTTTATTTTTTTCGCACACTATTTAATTACATATCACCGACATTAAAGCACAGCAAAACTTCAGTTGTGCTGTTGATTTGAAGAATTCTGCTTTATACGAAGTCCCATCAAATAGCAGGAGATTACGGTTGCTCTGCGTAGGTCTTAGTAGTTCTTCCTACTCCAAAACATCGCAGATCGGCGAATCTCTACACACGTTCCCTAAATACGAAGTTCAATCGGAAAGAAGGGAGAAATCAACAAGATCAAACATCGATCGTCACGAAGATGAAATAGTTATTTAGGAAAAAAGCTCTTGCTAACAGCAACAGTGGCAACTGCTGAGATAGCCACAGCCGGAGGGGATATCTAAATACTACGAGTTTTATGTCTAGAATCACATTCAACGATCGACGGCTTTTGACAACGTGAAGCAAAGCGTGATTACGCCACGACCGCGTGTTCCTTGGAGGAAATATCTGTTAGCTTGTTATCTAACAAAGTACGGTTTTATCAATAAGGCTGACTTGTCACTAGTCGGCGGCCTACGACTACGAGGATGCCATATTATCTATGCGTCAGGTCGCTATGCTACAGCTGACTGATTGAGTCATCACAATATCGCGCTAGATCATTTGTACGATAGGAGACAACCGCACGTAACGCAGGCCAACGTAGCTTCGGATCTACCGGCCTGCGTTTAAATACGATCGTCAGTCGAACGCCCATACAGTTTGGCTTTCGTGCTGTCCAGGAGCTTCAAGCATTTTCAGATGGCTCAAATCGAACTATTACTACTGGCCAACTATTAGTTATTTCCAATTTTAATGGTGCTCTTAAGTTTTCTAGTATACCGAGTTCGTCTGCTTCTTGTAAGTCAGAAGCAAGGCTATGCGCGTCTGAGAGCTCGGGCGAAACGAAGTGCATTATAGAGCGTTTGAGTTGATGCGTTTATTAACACGTCGGATGGGTAGTCTGCGCTCATCGCGTCGCCTTCGATCCTCGTCTAATTCGTTGCCGATGTCGTCATCGTCGTGATGCTTTGAATGCCTCTAGGCCCGTTCGTTTACGGATGGCATAGGTCGTCGAAGGGTTTGTAAGGTCATCGATGGGTTTCGAGGGAAGGACAACATGGCTTAACTGCAAGCCTTATCTAACCGGACTTACCTAAAACAAGCTTACCTAAGCATATATCCTATATATACGCAGCGAATTCGGGATAAGTTGGGATACTTCTCTTTTTTTTTTGTTATCTGCAAATTCGTCCCACAGGGAGACAGGGGATTTGTATTCGAAATGTTAGCGAAGACCAGCCATCGTCTTCGTGCCGAACAAATTTCCACTAACATAGGTTATCGCTTAAATCCCGCTGGGTAAATCGTGTTCAATAAGTCGTCTATGCATTTCAACACTGCCTGACGATTACGATTCAAAACAGATAACAGATTAGCTATGAACGACTTAGGCGTCGTGCTAAAGCCATGATCAAAACAATTCCAGATACGCGCCAGTTGCAGCTCTTCAAAATGATACAAATCTATAGGTGCTTTCTATTTTTCTACTTGTATGGCCTTGCGTAGATACAAGCACCGCGCAGAATGGTCAACCTCCGTAGGGCGGGCGGGCGATGCTCTTCGGACAACGAAATAGCGGCCCATACCGTAGCGTTACTCACCGTTACTGAATTACGAAGCTCTGGTGTCGCTAGTAGCCCGAACGAGCGTATGAACCACTAAATGATAATGTGGCGGCGGCCAATAGAAGAATGCCGTCATAATTGACAATTACGGCATCAATAATGTTAGCGCATCCGACGTAAACTACGTTTCAGGCAGTCACGGTT